GTTCTGGGGCTGGGCTGGTGAATGTATCTTGAAACTGCTACGGTTTCAGATTGAAGCGGATATGGTTTCAGATTGAAACGGCTACGGTTTCCATTGGGAACGGCTACGGCGTCCGTTGGTCACTGCTACGGTGTCCGTTGGTCACTGCTACGGTGTCCGTTGGTCACTGCTACGGTGTCCGTTGGTCACTGCTACGGTGTCCGTTGGTCACTGCTACGGTGTCCGTTGGGAACGGCTACGGTGTCCGTTGGGAACGGCTACGGTTTCCATTGGGAACGGCTACGGTTTCCATTGGGAACGGCTACGGTTTCCATTGGGAACGGCTACGGTAGAATAATTATACTGCCACGGTAGAATACTTATACTGCCACGGTAGAATAATTATACTGCCACGGTAGAATAATTATACTGCCACGGTAGAATAATTATACTGCCACGGTAGAATAATTATACTGCCACGGTAGAATAATTATACTGCCACGGTAGAATTATTATACTACTATGGTATAATTATTATACTGCCACGGAATATTTATTATACTGTCCGTCACGGTTGTTTTCGCCGTCTTCTTTTTTGAGCAGTCCCTGAAACTGTTTAAAGAAATAGTCCCATAATACTATATGGAGAACTTTGAAGATGAAAATCATAAGTTATGTTCAGGTTGTAGGAAATACAAAACAATAGACAACTACCAACCAAATAAGCAACTTTGTAATGTCTGTCTGGGAAAAAAGGCACAATATAGGGGAAATAATAGAGACAAATTAAAGCAGGAGGCAAAGGATTATTATGAGAAAAACCGAGAAGAAATACTTGAAAAGAAAAAGGAAAAGATTGAATGTGAATATTGTAGATGTCTAATATCAAAGGCAAAATTAACTCAACATTGTAGAACCAACCGACATAATAAAAATAAGAGGGAGCTGGTTAAGTTTATTATAAGTGAATTAGAAGATGGATAAATAAGCATCATATTATGAAAATTGTATGATTGTTATATAATAATTATAAGGAAATTTGGTAAGCCCTCCCCGCTTCGCTCCCACCCTTAAGCCTATAAGGCAGAGTGTCGTAACCAATTACTTTTATAATAGGAATGATGAAGTCTAAACAAATATTTATAATATTAATTTATTATAAATCTTTGGTAAAGCGTGTGAGGGGGCTTAGTCCCAGAAAACGGGTGAGGCGATATGATGAAGGATGAAAGCGGATTAGGTGACCATGTTAAGAAATGAAAAAATGCGATGAATAACTACTTAAATTATTATTGTGATGAGAAACGAGAAAGGTGACGATGTTGATGATGGGGTGGAAGACGAAATGAAAGAGCGGGACAAAACAATGATAACGGATAAGGCGACGATGAAGGCAGGAATGAGACAGGTGAGCATGTGAGAGAACGGATGAGGTAAGCAATATGGTATTGTATAGGTCCTAGAACCAACACTTATACATGCCCCAGCCCCAGCATGGCTACACCTCACAACCATCCTTTTTACAATTTTTTGGGGGGGCATTTTCCTTGAGATATTTTCCTGCACCGAAAAATTCCCCGGTTTCTTGGGAGGGGAAAGAAAGCAGGGAGAGAAGCACGCTCTTGCACTTTTTGCACTTGCTGTCTTGTGTGTGCTAGGTCGTAGGCCGCGAGGTTCCACGCAGGCTTGCGCCGGACTTGCAAGGGCTAGTGCTGCTGCGTGTTGGCTCGTGCGTTAGAAGAAACCCGCTGCGGTCACTGACGGCTAGAAGAGTGGGGGTAACGGCCCACTGCGAGATTTTAGGCGAGCTCACGATAGGTGGACCTCTGCCGCTTGCGGCTGGCTAGGGCTATGGAGGTTTTACCGATAGACCGGCCGCAACTGGGCCGATCTCAGAGTCCTGCTAGCAGTAAGGGAGTGGCTAGTGACGGAGCAGCTCTATACGAGCGGGTGGGAGTTGACGAGCTGCATGAGCTACTGCAGCTGGCTAGGGAAGGAAGGCTAGGGATGCAGCTACACAAGTTTCAAGCGTGCAGGTCAGTGGGCGCTATCAAATAGGATAGACCGCTACCAAACGGCTAGATCCTGGGACGACATCCCGGATAAGCTGGAGGCTACTCTCTCGACGCAGAGGCGCAGGATCTGCAGCACAGAATAGACGAGAACCGCCGCCTGGCGCGGCTAGAGACCCACAGGCCTGGCGAGACGAGTTTTTGGTGGGAGAGGAACTGAGGCTACGCCATGGCAAGGCCAAGGCGAGGCCCAGCAGGCTGGCCCGCCCGCCAAGCAGACGGCGGAGAGCAGGCCGTAGCGATGGTAGACGAGATGATGTTGCAGCAGCAGGACGCTTTTCAGATGATGCAGCTGGAGAGGGAGCTCAGGGCGAGCGCGGCCCCAGGAGAACCGAAATCTGTTGGGGTTGGCGGGGGGGCAGGCGCACACCGGAGCTGTGGCGCCGCCTGCGCAACCGCCCTTTCGAACCATTCCGTGGTGCCCAAGCGGGCTACCCACAGTGGTGCAGCCCATTGTCGATCCCCCAGCAAAACGAAAAAGCGGTGAGTGCGGAGCAGTGTTCCAGCCCGGCCGGGGCCAGGTGCTCCGACAGCTGCGTGCGGGAGGCGCTGAGCCAGAGAGTGGTTTTACAGTTCCATCGCCACAGGACGCCAAAGTCCAAGCCTTGCCAGTTTCCAGACGATACGTCACGGCGAGGCAGGCGCATCGCAGAGGCGGCGGGAACCAAACCCCGCAAGCCGAGAGTGACGTCAAGGCGGCGGCCACTCCGACTTTCCGGCAGTCCGAAAGCCGATTGGGCTTCATGGCTCAACGTAGGAGCCGATGCCACGCAGCTGTGCCTCTACTGTACCCCCGGAGCCGATGCTCCGAGGGATGCCAAAACCACCGCCACTTCTGCGCCTGAGGCGTTTGACTGCTGACTGGAGGGCGCGGCGGGATTCAGGTGTCCTTTTTAAGGCTTCTTGAGGCAGGGGTTCAGTTGGCAGGTTTGAGCCAGAGCGAGAGACGAGAGGGGCTTCATGGCCTCAACCCTGCCGGGAGGGCGCTGGTCCACCAGCTGTGCTCGACGCGTGGTCTTGATGACGTTACGGCTGACGATAAATAGGGCACATGACCGTGTCTGTGCCGCCAGCCTCCATCACCTCAATTTTGAACGTGCCGAGTTTGCAAACGGCGCGAATGCGCGAAGTGCGCCTCATCAGCTAGCCCTTATACGGATGCTGGCGACGTTATCGGTGATGTTTCGTACAAAAACATGAAAAGCACAGGATCGCGGGGCGCTCAGTTCGAGCTGAGCCTCCTCAGGAACTGTGACTTGAGGCGCCAGCTGGAGGCGTCTTCGAGCAAGGCCTTCCGGCGCAGGTGCGGGCGCAACATGCTGCGTCAGTTGCGGCACAACAAGGCCCGTTACACAGCGTCAGTGGATAAGCCCGGGGTCACGCTCCGCCCAGACTCAAGTTTCTTGGAGCCTCTGATCCGTGAGGGGACCGACGCCGCCTGCCGCTTGCGTCGAGTCGAGTGGCTTATGACTGCGTTCACCAATATAGCTTACGATGAGCGCTGCCGATGCACGCCGTCGAGGGGCCATCGTGCGCCATCGACCAGCAGAAGGTGTCAGCCTGCAAAGAATAATGCGGCCGTGCCCTTCAGGCACAGGTAGATTCGCAGGTCGAGACGGTCGAGGTGCGCACCGTCCAGGGCCGTTCCCTGTCGGACGTGCGTGGTTCCGGTTTTAGATGATTAAAGGGTGACGAGTCACAGACCGGGTGACCGCCAACCACGAGTGCGTGGTTCAGATCGACACCGTCCCCAGTGACGCGAATGTCGTGGCCTACAGGGGGTGGTATCATCGGTTGTTGAGCGCATCCGCTCCCATCGTTATTGATCACTCCGCGAAGCCTGAGCGTCGCCTAAGGAGCAAGTCTACGGTGCAGCCATCCGCCCAGCCAAGCTCGTGTTAAATCGCGATTTCCGCCGTTTTTATGGCTGCACCGTCGCCGCTGAAGCTGCTCAGGGCTGCTCTACAATGTGAGGCGGCAGGTAGACGTTTTTTTAAAAGTGGGGTTGCTGAACATTGCAGGCCGCACAACACGTTGCACGCACCTGTTGTGCATGTGGTAGTAAGCTTCAACTGCCGCAGCTGCCTTTGCCAATCAAGGTGGCGCAGTAGTCTGTGCCGTCGCCTTATATCCCTAGCTTACGCTACAAAGCCATAGCCAATAAGGTAACCAACTAGCGGTGCCAGAGCATCTGCAGCTCTGGCAGTTGGTGAGCCCTTGGTACAGTAGCCATGCCCTGCGTGGTACGAGCTCGGACTGCAGCGCGTTGCCCGCGACGCAGCAAAAAGTCCGCCGTGTTTTTCCGGGTTTCTTTATGGGTTGTTGCCGCACTTGCTGTCTTCCCTACTTGGGCGGGCGTTGGGGTTAGAGTATATATATATATATGAGTAAGTTAATAAGTAACTTGTGTGATTTATGTTAACAATTATTCAAGTTATGTAACTGTACTTAGTGGACTTAGTAAGTACGACAAGTCCGATATCCACATGTACCAAAACACCATTTTTTAAGCTATAGAGCTGAGACTTGAGGAGGTGCATTGCATGGTTCGGGACATTATTGATCCCACAAACCTCTGAATTGAACGACCCCACCCAAGCATCCGGAGCGAAGAAGAGCTGAACGACTAAGCTCAGCTGAAGCACCTGGTCGAAAGGTCTCTCGCTTCAGACACCGGTCGAGTCAAGAGGGCTGCTACAAACAGAGAGCTTCAGAGTTGGCTGAGATGGGTTTGACGGTTAGTTGTTTCTGCGGTTTCCGAAAGCTGTGGCACTACTTCTTGTGATCCCCTCTTTAGTTCCAGCTCGTGGTGCAGGGCTTCAAGCTCGCCTGCAGGGCTCGTGGGCTTGAGGGGGTGAGCAAGCTGCAGTAACTGTCGCTTGTCTACATCGCTTCTGCTTGGTTCGCACCATGCAAACTTCCGTATCATTTTTTTCGTTCTGCAAGCAGTCAGACATCTCTGACAACTACGGCTTGCTCGTCCATCAAGGAGTAGGCCACAGTCTGCAGGATGAGGCTCCTAGGCACCAAAGTTTTTCCTATGCTTCCAGCAGCTTGGAATATATCCGGAGCAACCCGGTGCAAGAAGGAGACAACCTTCCAGGTCTCGCCTGCAGCTTGCAGATGCAGATCTGCTTGGCCCAATGTTTCCTCGCCGTAGGCACGAACGAAAACGAAATCCCCTCGGTGCACAGGATATCCTCCTCCGTGCAGGGCCTCCAAGCTCGCCACAAAGGGACCAGGGCAGCCCAGTGCCTCGGTCACTTGCCGCTCCAGCTGCACAGGGGCCTTTTTCGTCGGCTCCAGCAGTCGCACCTTTGTGTAGTTCGCTGGAGTCCAGTCCTTCATGATCCTGAGCTGGCTCGAGATGAGGTCTTGCAGTATTGTCTTCTCGAAACCAGTAGTCCAGTTGCAAAGCTGGTTCGTGTACTTCTTTACCACCTTGTGTTTCCTCTCGTGGCAAAAGCACGAGAGAAGGCAGTTGTGGTGCCGGTACTGCGGGGCCAGGTGCATCAAGGAATGAAACTTCGGAACCCAGTCGGAGTCGCCGTGCACAGCCAGAAAATCGTCCAGGTATTCTTTGACCGATGCCGCCAAGACATGGGCATCAATGGTTGTCGTGGCCAAAGTGCGAAAAGTCTGCAGTAAATCTGCCAAAAGTAGGAAAGGCCGCAGTCGGCGACGAAGTTCGTCGTCAGCAACAGGAACCACTCGCTTCTCCACGTAGAACCGTAGAAGCGGCACCAAAGTCAGGAGTTCGCTTGCACTGCCTCGCACCGGCTCAGCAATTTTTTCTCGCTTCGTAAGCACATCCTGGAACCCGCCCTTCTGGATCCGGTCCGGTAGACGGAAAGTATTCAGAAAAAAATTGATTCTGTCCGTGGTCCAGCCTGCTCCATGCAGAAAGCCCAGGGTAAGTCCGCACTGGATGCCAACGATGCCTGTCACGAGCAGGATGTGCATCCAGTCGAACATCAGGGACCCAAAGAAACGTGGCCCCAGAAACGGATCCAGCAGCACACCGCCCGCATGGTGGTTCAGGCCCATCGCCTGTTCCAGTCGCGTCATCTCAGCTGCAGTCGCATGGCTGCTGGCCGCCGTGGCCACGTAGCCGGCTGCTGCTGCCATGGACTCGGGTGTGTGCAGCCTGAATCAAACTTCGAATAGTCGGTGCATGTCGAAGTGACCAAGACACCGGAGTCGTCGTGAAGGCTGCAAAACATTTTGGCAGCTGCAGCAACAAATGCTGCCGGTTGCTCCTTTTGTCTCGAGAGACTGCTTGAGTGCGACTTCGTCGGCGATAAAACATCTGAGCTCGAAAAACAGCATCCGAGCTCCGACGACAGGCAGCTCCACGACGACACCTGCCTGCATAGGACACAGCACCTGCTCCATCAAGTGCTTCCAGAGCACAGTGACACCTCCAATGGCTTTGACAACAGTTGATCGCACGACCATTAGAGGGAGCCATGCTTCCTCACTCTGGAGCACCCTCACGGACCACTCGAGGCAGCTCCAGTATGCAGCAAAGACCTTGCGGTTTTGACGTGGCCTCATTGCATTGCCAGGAGTCACTTCGTCTGTATAAAGACACCAGGAGAGCGGACTGCCGAAGCTGGAGCCTGTAGTCAGCTGGCTCAGCATCTCTGCGAAGCCAGCTGAGTTCTTCACCACTGCTTGCAGGAAGGCCTTCGGGTCCAGGAACTGCAGCCGATGTTTCTGCTCATCCACGACTATGTCCATGGTCCGAAGAATGCCATGCTGGTTGGCTTCCTCTTCGCGACTTCTCTTCAGAGTTCTTCGAGACACCGGCTGCACTATCTGGCCCGCCAAGTCTTTCAGCAGCTCTTCAATCCCTGAAAGCGACACGAAGGAGTTTCTGCCCAGAGAAGCTCGCTTGGAGGCATCCATGGCTTGAAGAAGCTATGGAGCTGCTGTGCCCTGTGGTTTTGGCTTCTATATAGGCTTCGCCAGGGCTTCGGCTTATATGACATGTGTACAATATGCCTACTGTTCTGCTGCAGGAACTTCCTGCTCTAGATCTTCTCACACTGTCATGTGCAGTATGCTGGAACTTTCATCCTCATGCACGCATGAGTTCTAGAGCCACAGATTGCAGATACAGTCCTGCTGCAGGCACTCTGTAGCTCTCACACCTTCTCCCAGTATCCGCTGCACTGTCATGCAAGCTTCGTCCTCTTTTTCCTCTGCAGCTCCCCTGCTGCATGCTCAGGTGAAACAGGATGGGCGGCATCCTGGGCTATGCCTGCACTTTGCGCAGCCGTTGGGGCGAAACTTTTTTCGATCCTGTTTAGAGGGCTTGCTTATGTCTTGTCTAGACAGACTGGAGACTCAGCTCGGGCTCGCTTCCGCTCCTGGTTACCCTTCCGCACCTTTCTGCTTTCCACTGCCGCCGGAGTTGCCACTGCCACCGAAGCTGCAGTAGCTGTGGGAGCTGCCGCTGGCAGTGACGAAGGTGCAGCACCCGTGGGGGCAGCGGCCGCCAGCAGCTCGGAAAGGCTTTCGGAGTGTAGCAAGGGACTTGCGGCTTCCGCCGTTCCGCCACCAGCACCGCCATCTATCGCAGCATCTGTTGCCCTTGCCACCATGCTTCTGAGGCCGCCATTTATCGCTGCATCTGTTGCCCTTGCCACCATGCTTCTGAGGCGGTAGAGCTGCGAGGGATGCAGAGCAAGCAGTGCAGCGATGGCCGCATCCTCTTCCATGGCCAAATTGGCCTCTAGGTGCTCAGCCATGGCTATAAGCGGCTAAGGCTGTCTGCTGTGGTTAGTTTTCTGTGTTGTGACAGTGCTGTGGCTGAGTGACTATATAGAAAGCTGTCTGCAATGGTTGGTTGGCTCTTCTGTGGCTGAGTGCCTAAAGCTCTCTGCTGTGGCTGTTTGGCTCTTCTGTGGCTGAGTGCCTAAAGCTCTCTGCTGTAGTTGTTTGCCTGTGCTGGGGAGTGCTGTGCAGAGATTGGAAGAGCCGAGCCGTCAGCCCTGCCGGTGCGAGCCAGAGGCCCTGCAACACGGCGAGCTTTCTGGCTGGCCCCTCCAAGGCTCTGCTTGACAGCAAGCAGAACTCTGCTGTTGGAGCAACAAACATTGCCGCAGGACTTGGTTTATACATTGTTGCCGCAGAAGCAGCAACCGCTTCGCTCAACCTAAAACCCTTGCGAACAGCATCAGAAACTCCACAGCAAAAGTGCCAGGGTTCCATGCAGGATCTTGCTTTGCAGGTTCCGGTGTGAACGTTTGGGGTTTCAGGGTTGTGGTTTTGGGGTTGGGGTTTCAAGGTTGTGTTTTTTGGGCTGGTGTTTCAGAGCTGTTGCTTTTGGGCTGGGGTTTGGGGGTTGGTTTTCCTTGGGTTCTGGTTTCTAGCTGGGTTTGTTGTGTTGCTGTTGTTTTGTGTTGGCTGTTCCTTTTTTGCTTGCTGCTCGTGTTGGGCTGTGGTCTTTGCGTTGTGGCGTTTGCTTTGTTCTTTCAGTGTCGCTGGCCGAAGGTTTATATGTTTTTTTTTGTATAGCTCTTGGCTTGCTTTGTTGTTTTTGGGGCTCTGGCTTCGGGCTTGTGCTTTGCAAACGCTCTTTCACGGCACTCTCGGCGAGCTGTGCGGGTCTCAAGCCGGAGCCTTTGCCGGGCTCGTGGTGCAGTTCGTGTGGCCATTAGCATGGCCGTGCACTACAAGAGGCTGAAGAAAGCTGTCTGGACAGCACAACCACACTTTTCTATATATAGAAACCTGTGTTCTGGAGAAAGGGCCACAGTTTCCATATATAGAAACCTTGGCTTTCTATACATAGAAACTTGGTTGCTTTCCAGACCATGCTTTCTATACGTAGAAAGTTGGAGTGGATCTGGAGCCACAACTTTTCTATATATTGAAAAGTTGCTCTGGATCTAGAGCCCAAGTTTCTATATATAGAAACTTGACTGGTTTGGAACCTGCAACAGCGGAGTTGCACTGGCAATGAAACCCTCAGAATGTGCCTCGAAGCGCAAAGCGTAGATGGGCTCAATGAAGAAGGTAAACCGAAGCTCTCTGAGAGCTAAGTGAAGCAAGACCTGCACTCGGCCTTCGTTTTGCTGCCTATGGCTCGCGATCGACACTCAAGAAGGGGCCCCTGCTGTGAACCCGGAAGGCATCAGAGGATCAACGTCACATGGTACAGCCTAGGACACATGAATGTTGCACCAGTCCTAAAAGTTTCTTTGATCCTTGATGGGCCTTCCGTGTGGCCTGACGAAGTTGTGTCACAGCATCGAGACCCTGTTTCTTGGCTTTCTTAGCCGAAACAACGTAATCAGGGTTGAACCGGAGCATCCAGACACCAGTGCGCAGAAACTGTACAAAGCTGCGCCTACACTCTGAGGCACGTTTAGTCAAGGCATCAGACAGATTGAAGTCGCTTGCAAGCCAGATCAACTTGGTACGCACACGTCTCATGCCCTCCTTGAGCTGATGCCCTTGAATGGCCGCTCTGGCATTCGACAGTCCAAGATCTGGCCCTTCATGCCGAACAACTGCGTCATACCCGCCTTTGCTATCTGTGCCGAGGATGCCCGGAACATGTGAAGCTGCTTCTTCTGCAGCTTTGAGAAAATCGTGGCCCTTCTCAACGGTCGCTCCATTGAGCTCTGCCCAAATCAGGCGTGTCTTCAAGTTGAGGTCCTCGGCCTCAACCATTGCTTGCACCTCAGCGTCGGTGGATCCGATAGCCACTCGTTGGAGTTTCCAGGTTTTCCATCCCAGAAGTACAAGAGGGCCAGGCACACCGCTTGCGTGTGAGGGTCCTCCGATGAAAGTCAGAAGACCTCCAGTGGATCCACCCTTGGGCCGATTGTTGTGCGCCTGATCGCCAAGGGTCACGATGTGTATGTCCTGCCAATGGCTGGCATCCTTGATGGGCTTGAAACGAAGCCGCATCGGTTCATTTCGAACCTCCTCAATCAACTGCTGAAGTTCCTTGGCCAAAGCAAACGTGGGACGGCTTGCTAGGTCAGATAGAATCAAATTGCAGCGTGCACAAATGAGGGGTTGAGTCTGAACTGCCACCCATTGCAGACTGCCCAAAGCGGCTCTGCACTGAGAGACTTTTCGGTCGCTGAGAGCACTTTCTAGCACACGACCTGGAGCGGCTGCCAAGGGGAAGTCCGCGATGGCCTCGATGTACTGGTCCTGGTTGATCTCAATCACGTTGCCATCGTCGGGGTGGTAGCTGGAGACAATGTCGGTCCCCGCGTGGCGGTAGGAGCCACGCTTGATGGTCCCCCGCTTGTAGGCCTTGTCAATCTTCTCCCGCAGCTCGAGCCATCGAGGATTTTCTAGATCTCTCGCCCGGTTGAAATCGTCCACATGACCTCCCATCATTCCGATGGTCTTGAAGCGGTCCATGTCATTCCTCGGATTTGGATTGGGCTCCGTCCATACCACATGCATGGGTCAGAGAGGATTTTCGTAGCACCCAAGTCTGTGAAAGTAGCATGAAGATCCAGCCACAAGCCCCTCGGGGCTGTGGTAGAGCCGTAGAAGTCCTTGAGAACCCGTAGGAGCTTGTCATCTCCCACGCCCAAGGCCTCCCGCAATTCTGCAACACCTTGGGTCCAGATGCGCATCTCCTCCTTTGGTGCCGTCTGCAAGAACGCAGTAGAGAGGTCAAGGCCTTCCAAAGTCCAATTGTTCTGAACCGTCATCTGGTAGGCGAGGTTGCGGGTCAACACGGACTGAACAGGAGCACTTGAGTTGAACCCTTCACGAAGGAGGTCAGGATGTTGGTAACCCAGAAGAACGATTCTCGCCTTGGCTTTGCGAGTGGCGGTCTCATCAATGGTGGTGTCCGCCTTGGTGGCGAGTTCTTGTTCCGCCTCCGCTCGTTCTTCCTCCGGTATGGGTTTCCAGGTCAGGACCCAACGACATTTCATGATACGTCCGCTGTCCTGAGCTTCTTTCTCCTCCGACAAGTCAGCACACTTTCGCACGGCGGCCTGCTGAATGAAACTGGTCACCTCCTTGGTTTTCGCTCGACTGAACAACTTCTTGTGCGCCGCGCTCAGCTGCTCCCATCGAACTTCAGAGTCACGCATCTTGCCGACCAGGTAAGCCGAAGGAGACCGTAGGAATTTCTTCATCTGGCGATTGCTCGTGAGCTGTAGGTCAATCTCCATGACATAGCCATACTCGCACTCCTGGAGAGCTGAATGCAAAGTAAGCTCCTCCTCAAAGCTTTCAGTGCGCGCCTTTTTCGAATCACTCGGTGGTGCCGTTGAGCTGGTAGCTTCTCGCTTGGACGCGGCTTGGCGATCCATGGCCTCAAGATCACGATCGAACTCTCGAGCCCAACCAGAGAGGGTACCAGGCACCCCCAATTCATCACCAGGTTCACTGGGACTGTACTCGCCGTAGTCGTTAACCGGCTCCTCCACAGGTGGAGGTAGTGGTGGTGCCGCGGCTTGTTGTTCAGATTGTTTCCGACGCAGACGCTTGGATGGCATCCATGTGCTCTCATCTGGCTCTCCAGGTAGATCAGGGTGATGATCGTCAGGATCGTCACCAGGGGGCAGCTGTTCTGATAGATCAGTGTATTCCTTGCTGGGGATGACATCTTGCAAGGATCTCCACTTGGTAGGATTCTCTTCGGTCCGCAAATGATGCCAAGCTCGCTCTTGCTCTGTCACTGGCCTGACCGAGTGAGCAGCACAGCGGTAGAGCTTGCCACCGATGACGACCCATATGATGTGTCGGCGAGGGTCGTCGGAAGCTTGATGAGGCACCGTCTCCTGTAGAACAACACGTCCAGGTCCGATCCAATGATAACGACCAGCCTTCTTCGATCCGCCCTGACGTCCACGATGAACTTCCAGCGGTAGAGCTCGCCTCCAAACCTTCACCATGTCCGTGGCCTGGAAGGTCCTCAAAGGCTGGCGGGTGATTGAGTTCTTGAGCTTGGACAACACACGCTGAGCTCGCACCTCCCTTGCCCTCTGTTCGGCTTCATTTCTCATCGTGAAAAGGAGAACTGCTTGCCATAGGCCCACTGATATGATGAGAACCCCTTGACAAAGGAAGTCTGATTAAGGGCTCCCGTGGCAAGCGCAAGACAAGTCTCCGGCAGGAGAGCGGCGCTTCCAAGTTGAATCTTCTCCATCACCTCTTTCACATCCTGCACAGTGGATCCGCAATGCCATGAGCCCAAGCTTCTGCTTTGGCAGGTGGCGCCAACCATACGTTCACGCTCGAGCAGAAGTCCTGAAAGTGCTTGGAGGTAAAGGACCTGGCATTGTCAGGAATGAGGATCTCTGGTTTGGGCTTGTCACTCAACCACCGCTTGGAAAACGCTTCAACGAGGTGCGTGCCAGTTTCACTTCTCATCTCAGAAATCCCCAATCGGAACAAGGGCTCAGCAACACGAAGCTTCGTGGCCGCGTCCACGAACACCACAAACTTCAACTTGCACTTCTGGGCCACACTTGTCCATTCACCCACATCTGCCACCACTTGCTGACACGCACAGGGAAGAGGCCTTGTGGAGAGTGGCGGGATCTGCTTAGAAGACAAACCTCCAGGTCTCACAGCCTCACAGTGAGGACATGAGAACTTCATGGCTGCTTCCACCATCCACTTGGGCTTGCCAGCCTCCTTGACAATGCGGGCGAGCTGGTGGTTGGAAGGGTGCCCCGCTGCCGAATGAAACCTTTTCAACTTCCGGTCCCAATTGCCCCGCTCCTCGTCAGTAGGCTCGGACCGGTCCGGCGGGATCCCATCGACATTCGGTGGATCGGGCTCAATCTCCGGAACCTCGTCATCACCAATCTCCTCTGCCGCAAAGTTGTAGGCCTCTGCTGGCATGCCAAAGTGGCGAAGAGGAAAGAGGTGGTCGCGCCAGGATTGCGCAACGGATTTAGCAAAGCGCCAAGGATAATCCAATCTCCCTTTTGATTCCATCACAGGCACTTCAACATGCGCATGATTCTGCACACAGACCTTGGTCTTGAAGAGGGTGTGAAAACGAGGGCACGTAGTTCTAATCAGCCGTCGCTTCTTGATGAAGTCACCCTTTTCACCCTCACGCACCCCGTAACGGCAACCATCAACACGGCATGCAAGCCAATCCTTGTTGCGACTCCATATGGCCTTTTCCAGGTCTCGCAAGGCAGGCTCCTTCCATCCAAGGCTTTCCGCTGGCCATTCCCAGAAGATCTCGAGGAGGGAGTTGCGACACATCGCCCAGGCAAGAAAAGAACACATCCTGCGAAGCATGGTGTGCTCATGGCGTCGGCGACTTTCCAGATCCTGTCCTGCCTGCCAGTTTTCATGGGACAGATGGCCCCATGGTTGCCATCGATCGCTCCTTGGAGAGACCCAAATCCTGCGGGGGCGGTGCTGATCAAAGAGAGCCTTCAGAGCCGGGTAGGTCTCCGCCTTGTACAAGTCATACCCGTTCACATGGTTGACCCGAAGAGCTCCTAGGCCCACATGTTGGCACGCCGTCGTCAACATCGAAGTTGGGCCACAACCAATCTCCCAGATGCTGCACTGATGACGCTGAGTGGTGAGGGCCTGCAGCTCGCCGCGGTAGACATTCGTGAGCACAGCCACCATCGCCATCACCCCGGCGGCCACTCGCTTGGGAAAAGTCGGCCTCACTGCTGGTCGGGCGTTCCCGCCACTGACCAGCTCGTCGTTGTCGAAGTCGGCGATGGTCTCCCGGGTGGTCCGTCCTCCATGTCCACCAGGTTCGGATTGATCATCGCACCGTCCTCGCGCAATTCCGTCTCCTTGTACCCACTCTTCAAGGTCGGAGTAGTCGATGGCTTTGCCGCCGATGGTCCCAAAGTGGCCTTTGTCGTCGTGGGTCCTCTCGTTGCTGGTGCCCTGCGGCGATCGAACTTCTGAATCAGCTGATGGTAGCGGTTGCGGGCATACTCCAGATCGATTGCCACCTTGACCATCTCCCCCTCCGGCTGCACATCCCCGATGTCCTCGTGGAGCTGCGCGAGGGCCTTCCGAATCGTTGGGAAGTTCTCGGTCTTGCTGTCGGATCCTGGGGCGCCTTCTCGTGGAACATAAGACACCCTGTAGCAGCATGTGGCGCAATGTTTCCATTGGGCGTACTTGTTGTTCCCCACAGTAAGCTCCGGATGTTCTCCGAAGCAAGGCCACTGCGTCCTTAAGGCCCGGGGGTCCCGTGTGTCGGGGCCCACTGCCCTCTCGTAGTCCAGCTCCGGAAGCGCTGAAGCCTTCTTTGGAGCCATTGCAGTCCGCGATCAAGTCGTTGGCGAAGTGAGGAGATGGTCTAGACTGCCCGCTCATCCTCGAGCTAGAAAGATCTGGAGATGACGATTTTGCTGTCACATGTTTCTGAAGCTGCTCATCATGCGCTTGCGGAGGTCTGCACTCGCATCCTGATTCGTTCTCTGCACTACTGTAGCACCACACATCTCAACACCATACATGAACTGTAGAGGGAGATCTTCATCAGTGCCCGGCAAAGGGTAGAGATCACTGGAATGCGAAGAAGAAGGAACCCACGGCTGTCTCAAAACAACTGAACAATGCCCTGTCTTGCAAGTCTGGCCTCCAGTGAGGTAGGCGGCCACGTCCAGGATGTAGTGACCTTTCGAGTTTGTTGGCAGATGTCGTGCTTCTTCTGGCGGTAGTTCACGCTTGTTAGCTATATCGGCTGCATTCAGAAAGGAACCGTCATTAAAGTCAATGATCATGCCAGCGCCCTCGGGACCAATGTGACTCATACCTACCAAGATAGGAACCAGCATGTGGGGGCGAAACCAGGGCTCAACAGCTTCCGGAGGATTTGGCAAAGCATAGACGCCAAACTGCTTCTCATAGCCGCTAACTTTGGACGACAAGGTCACATGATACTGAGCACGACCCCAAGCCCCAGAGCCATACCTGAAATACGGGCGACGAGACTCGACTGATCAATAGTGATCGTAGCTCCCTGGTCCTGCTCAATGACAGATGCAATGAGCCGCTGAACACTGGCCTCCTGTTGCTCCACAGTCCAAAAGACCTGAAGTTGGAGGAATCGCATCCTTCTCTTGGGACGCGTAACAGCCCAAGCTGAGATCACCTTCGGTGCCAAGCATCTCCAACCCGTAGGCATTCACACCGGGGAACATCCGGGGTTGCTTGCCGATCTTGCCCTTGTGCATGGGACCCTTGCCGAGCCCAAAGTGGCCCTTGGTCTTGCCCTTCTTCTTGCCCTTTCCGCCAATGTAGTACATGTGGTCGTAGGTGCCGTAGTCATACTCCATGGAAAGAGCTCCTTTAGGACGTCCTTTTGCACCGGAGCCCTTGCAATCACGAGCGAAATGGCCGTAGCTGCCACACTTGTGGCATTGATCGCCCTTCTGGGCCAGACGAAAGGCCTCCGATGCTCCGAATCCTCGGTCCTTGCGCACCGCTGCGGTTGCTTGCTGGGCTCGCTTCCAAGTCAATGCCGCATCGGCGGCCATCGCCTCAGCTGCTCTCTCCGCCTGCAAGGCATCTCTGACAGTGGGATCGTCCAACTCCGCATTCGTAAGGACGTCCGGGTTGGCATTGGAAGGCACCTGTTCCCACTCTTCAGCCCAGGCTTCTGGGCTCTCGCCATGATACTGGGCATCTTCCCAGTGTCCTTCGGGCCAGGATTCTTCTTCCCAGCCCTGCTCCTCCCATTGTGGGTCGTACTGGGCCTGCTCGTCCAACACCTGGGCACCTTGATATAGATGGGAACCATGACCGTGACGCCGGACTCCTGATAGCTGCTCATCCCACAGGACCTGAAGCGCATTCGACACAGACTCAAAGTCCAATCGATTCGAAGTGGCCGTGAGGACGTCGCGGCGCTCCTCCAAGGTCAGGCTAGCAGCCTGCAGCAAGCGCCACCCTCGAAGCACATCCAAGATGAAGGAATCGAAGGTCTCATCCTCCGTCTGCGCCCCTCTCGGGTGCCGCTCTGGAGGTCGAAGTGTGCGTCGCGAGGTCACGGAGTCACGGAGGCTCCCTCTGGTGGAGTCTGTCCTTCACCGCCCTGATCCTCAGGCGGCGCTCTGGTCGGCGAGCGGCCTCCACCATCCACGGGTACATCCTCAGCCGCGACCTCTGCATCCTGATCGGCGCCGGCGCTCTGGTCCTCGGGAGCCGGCTCCTCGGCCCAGTCCTCTTCATCCCACCAGCCCCGACGCCATCCGGACCAGGACTCATCACTCCATCTCTCGCGCTCAGTCACTACCTCCTCCTTACGCAACAAAGTCTCCAACCCGAACAGCTGCTTATCAATCGTTAGCCCTTGCCGTTCCTCTCGTAGGCGAACCAGAGCCTCGTTGAACTCCTCAAAGCCAAGCGTCTCCCTGACGAGGAAGTTCGTGATGGGTTCGCCTGGCTGCCGACGGAACTGAAAGTACTGAGACGCACTCGTGCCGAGGCACGAGGTACGACAGTGTATGCTAGCGCTAGTATCCCTGTGGGAAACATCGAAGGTGTTTCGCTAGAAAACGTCGAAGGGGTTTTCCTCTGAAGCTAAACAGAACGAAGCCTGTCTGTGCTAGAGTGACTGCACATGGCGGGTGAAGCATGCGCTACTCCGTGGCCATTGTGCTGAAAGGCCCCCAGCTACTGGGGGGCAATTTTCGAGTGCGGGTAGGAAGGGGAACAGGGCTAATTAGCCCTGCTTCGGGTGCGCTGCCATGTCGGACAGCGACGCTACCCTGGCGCCGACCACGCCAGATGGTGCAGCTGCTACAGCCGTCGACTGCGCTACTGTGGTTGGGGATTCCCCCCCCCCCCGCTAAGTTCTTCGTCACTGAGGGGGGACGATACCGCGGGGCTTCCTCTGGGGAGGTACCCTCGTGGGTCCCGCAGACCCCAGCTAGCGACCCACAGCCCGAAGAGGCGGGAGTGCTCTTCGAGGGCTGGGAGGTGGAGGCTGAGCTAGATGCGCAGGCTACGGTCCAACAGGAACGTAGGCGCACGCTAGACAGGGCCTACCGGCACCTCTCCAGCCACAAGGGTTTGGGGTCTTGGAGCTAGCTGTGGTGGAGCTGGATGACGCGGAGGACGTCGCCAAGCAGCTAGCCCGAGAGCTGGTATTCCTTACCAGCCGTGGCTATGGGATGGCGTTTACTGCTGGCTACAAGAAGCACGGCAGGAAGCTACGGTTTATCAAAGGGTGCATGGCTACTTCCAGGACGACATCACCTGGAGAGCCCGGATGCCACCGCTACCGGCTCCAAGAGAGGAGGCCGAAGAAGCTACGCACCAACCTACGGTGCCGCTAAGACCTCCCCCCGGGGAGCGGAACCGAAAGGTGCTATACAGCCCGGCACGAGCGACTGCTGGAAGTTTGGGCAAGGAAGCGTCTGGATCCCGTGCGGGCAGCTATGTTGCTCCCAGGGAAGACACGGGCTTCTACTTTGAAGCGCTACCTGAGCTACTACAGGCAGTGGCGCCAATGGCTCCACGCTGCTAAGCTCAGGCCGCCTCCGGGCACCGCCGCTGATTTGGTGGATTACCTCCTCGCTAGGAGCGATGAACCTTGCGGCCGGTCGGTTCCGGAAGCTATTCTTAAGGCTATCTCATGGATGGAGAAGGTGGCCGACTTCCCGGTCGAGCTACGGGTCTGGGCCGCGAAGGACAGCATAGTGGAGCAGCTAGCGGAGGGAGCCCCCTTGATCAAGAGGGCTCTGCGCTACGCCGTTTACATGCTGGTGCAGCTAGAGCTGGTGGTGGTCAATCCCGCCCTGGCGGTGGGCTGGCGCGTCTGGGCCTGGGCTAAGTTGGTCAAGGTCTGGGCCACGCTAAGATGGTCGGACCTTCAAGCTATCCTGCCGGCGGAGCTATTGATGGTGGAGGGGCGTCTCACCACCATCCTCCGGAAGACAAAGACTTCCGGTGCTACAAGAAGGGTCAAGGAGCTACCGGTCGTGGTGTCGGAGCACGCCTTTCTGGTCGCTAAGAGCTGGCTGGTGACCGGCTTTGATCTCCTGAAGGCTCACGCTAACTACGCCCAGGACTACCTCATGGCGGGGCTGGGCCGGGCGGGGCAGCTGGAGAAGAAGATGGCTACCTATGCGGACGCTATGGTGGCAACTGCGGGGCTGCTGGCTATCATGGGCTACCCCAGGGAGGTCCAGGGCTATTGGACGGAGCACAGTGAGCGCTCGGTGCTACCAACGGGTTTGGCGCTAAAGGAGATCCCACCGCAGGATAAGGATCTGCTAGGGCGTTGGAAACCCGAGGGGTCCGACGTGTGCGCTAGATCCTTTGCGGGTAGGGTGTCCCGTCTCCAACCTCTCTTCGCTAAGACAGCTAGGGGGGACGACCGCTACGAAGCGCTCGACGAGCGCGAAATTGCCGTGGCCGGGAGTAGCTCCGAGGCTTCTGCGGAGGTCGTGGAACGGCCTGCTAAAAGGCAGGCCAGGGTTCCTGACCGCAGCCAGGGCAGCTATGTGATTGTAGAGGTCCCAGGTGCCATTTTCCGCATGCAAAAAGGGGGGGCTACAGGCTGCTGGATGGGAAAGCGCCGGGCTTTCCGCAACGCTAGGGTTCTTGATTCGGTTCCGGGGCCGCATGAGTACACACATGTGTGTAAGCTATGCTGGCCGAACCAAGGGGCTATCTCCGAAGGAGACGCTAGCGAAGGATCGCTCGCTAACTCGGAAGATGATGAGGCCCCCGAGGATCCCGCAACAGGGTCCGCTAGCAGTCATCCTTGAGCGCAGGGCGTGCTAAGCCGCCGAACTCGCACTCGCACCAAGGCTAGAAAGACTGCTAGGTCGGAACCGCTTCACCTCCCCTCTCTGCCTCTCGCTCTCTCTCTCTCTCTCTCTCTCTCTCTCTCTCTCTCTCTCTCTCTCTCTCTCTCTCTCTCTCTCTCTCTCTCTCTCTCTCTCTCTCTCCCTTTTCCTCCTTTGCGAAACGCCGCTAAATTTTTGAGGGGGTGTGCTTGGGAGGGGGGGGGGAGGGTCTTCTTGTGGGCCGGGGGGGGTGGGGGGGGGGTGGGGGGGGGTGAAGAAAGAAGAGAGTGGAGGGAACCACGTTCTTGCTACATGTCACTTGCTGTGTTGCCTGTGTTGTGCTTTCGTGTTCCGCTAGTGTTCTGCAGGAGGAGCAAGGAGCGAGGGCAGGCGCTAGGAAACCGAGCTAGGCGCAGGAGCCAGTGACTGTGCTAAACCTCCTCCCACGGATAGCCCTCGGCTTCGCTATCTCAGGTAGCTAGATTCTCTTAGCCGTTTCACCTGATCCGTGCTTGCAAGGGCAAGGGGGCCGCAGACGGCCCCGCTACGGCCGAAGAGCCCGCTACAAAGCTAATGCCGCCAACTGGGGTCCTCGGCCCAGTGGTCGTCCATATCATCGTCGTCCTGGAGATCTCCAGCTTTGTCCTCTGGGCAATGCGAATCTTTATCAGAAGATACAACAGGTTTATAAGCTCCTCGGCCCACTCTTCTTCGTCCCCCTGTTCCTGGGCGTTCTCGTCCTGCATGCACAAACGAAAGGAAACACACGGAAATAAAACCCAGCGGCGTGAGTATGGTCCTCCTTCCATGTGTCATCGCCCTCTTGGAGTGCTCCTTCGTCCTGTCGTTGCAATCAGGTTCGAAAGTTTCAAGCTATACACCAAATCTAGGTCCTCGGCCCCAGTCTGCTCAGGATTTTTTCCCATTCCTCTCGAAACTACATGAGCCACTTCGAGATCTCTGCGTGAAACCCGGCCTGGTCTTCATCGGTGCACTCTTCTTCCTCTGGCCATTCCTGCATGCTCTGCAGAAATAATTGAACCACTACATCAACCCAGCGAACCCTATATAAAGCAGTATATACATGTTTCCGAATCCCTAGATTAAATTTAAAGCCACCCATAAACAATCTCCCAAACCGTACGAATATAAATATGTGTGTATATATATATATACATATACACTTATATAATGTCTACATACATACCCTCAGGAACTCGAAGGCCATGCGTGAAGCCGGTCCTGGTCTTCATCGTTGCCCTCTTCTTCCTTTGGCATTTCCTGCACGAGCGAAGAACCCAGACCATCAATCCTTGAAGCTATATACTATAGCATGTATATATATATATATATACATAGCAGTCCCGAACAAGGATCCTATATTGTCACTTACAATCTCCGGGATACTAGGCAACAAACCGTAATGAACCCCAAACCCCCGAAGGTCTCGAAATCTGAAAGTGAAACCGGTCCTGGTATTGCTCCGCCCATTCATCGTCCGGATTCCATGCGGCCAAAGCCTGCAAAATTGGAACCATGCACGACCCCTTAAAACTTAAACCTGGAACCCCGAGTTCTATACTACTTGTCCTAGAATACAACCAAGACCCCAACCCCAAAGCTCCAATGGTAATGTCGAAAGTACAGCCTTGTAGTCGCTATCATCATCATCATCATCCTCCCAAGTCCTTGCATGGACACCGCAGAAACCAGGGCAGATCGGACAGCTATCATATGCAGTCATCACAATACTTAATGCAACCGTGCATCTGGTGTCCCTCGGGGTCATCTCCATCTGCTGGAGCCTGCATGCTTCCAATCGCACAAATCCTACATTCGGGAATGCTCAGGACACATTGCAAGAAAGGCTCCCCAGCCCATGAACTCGACGACATCATTGACAATGTCCTCAGATAATCACGATACAGTATACATACTATAGCTTTTAACCAGTGCGTGCATTCTCATTCCAAATGCCAGCAGTGGCACGTCTTCGCCTTCAATCTGGTCAAAGGCTTCACTGCCTCAGATCGATTCTGTTGCAACTTACTCGCAGAAACCTCGGCGTGCAAAGTCTCTAGCCGAGAGGCTGTACCTCCATCAAGACACCCATCAGGCAGGGCAGCCTCGGGATGTTTGAACATGATCGCGACCAACCTTCCTATTCTTTCGGCCGAGAGGCTGTAGCCTGGCTCCCATCTGCGATTGCAGCCTCAACGATATCGAGACTAGAAAATGATGGTGCCCAACCTTCCTATGCAATTCAGAATAATGCAGCCGCAAAGCCAAATCGCCATCATGATCATCGGCATCAGCATCCTGCGGGAGGTGCATGGGCATCGCCATTACAGCACATTGTTCTCGAAAGAATCTTTGCAATGATCTTAAAGCTTTGATCGCAGATTTACAAGTGTCTCAATCTGAACATTTCCGTTGCATGCCCAAGGGTCCTCCGGCATCTGCGTGTCCTCGTTGTCCATGGCGATGGAGCGACGGGCTTTGCACAGCAACTTCTGCATCGTGTCGGCTTCTTGCTTGCACCACTCACTAAAGGTCAACCCCGGAACATTCGGGATCTCCAGTGCTGGGTTTTCTCGGAACATCAAGCGAAGTGCCTCCTGAACAGCTCGCAAAGTGAAGAAC